CTGCTAATGTACGGGTACCCATGGCCTCTGGCTCTCGTCTTAGTGAAGGACGGCCAGCGTCCACCCCCCACCAATGGAAATGTACTACGGTACACGGAAATACGTACGAGTGCGGCGTTATTTGCGCCAAGCAAAAGGTTTCGCCTTGGCCAAGGAAGAGGGTTCTTGTGTCGTTTACTTCTTGCAGCATGGCAGTACTTAGGTTCGATCAAGTATGGCCAGTTGGTTGTGTCCGCCATTAATTTCTAGGTGCATAGAGCCTATATGCCATCGACAAACTTGATTTGAAATCAAGGATGTGCAGCGTGTCAAGCGAGAAAAGGCGGCATTTTCGTTAGTGCCTCAAGGTAATAACCCTTAGTCAAAACAAACATTTGGTTGACCTTAACATATGTGGTACCGTAGAGAAGGGTATATGTACCTTTCGTGCGCCCAGCCTCTTAGCAGCGAGTCAGGGGGAAGCCCGTCGTTCTCTCCATAGGCTCTAGCAGCTTCGCTTTCTGCGGGGCCTAGGTAGGCCAACAGAGCCAACGTGTTCACCTTCGAGAGAGAGAGAGAGAGAGAGAGAGAGAGAGAGAGAGAGAGAGAGAGAGAGAGAGAGAGAGAGAGAGAGAGAGAGAGAGAGAGAGAGAGAGAGAGAGAGAGAGCGAGATAGGGAGAGTGGGAGGCAAGAGAGTGGGGAAACAAGGGCATGAAAGAACTTCTTGCTTCTGTCTCGTACGGGCTTCTCGAGATAACCGTCACAGTACAGACTCGGTTTGAACGATCACGAGAAGGCTGCTATTTGTTGCGATTCGCCGCCACGATGTTATCATCATCGGACGTACACCTAGCCAACAATCGGTGGACGTTAACGCGTTCCCGGAGAAGCAACTTGCCTCATACCCTACAATAGATCTGGTAGCTCGTTTCGTACAAAGTCTCTCTTTCCGAGTAGTCTACATTAGGTGTCTGGGTTTCGAGCCGGCGCGGCCGAAGATCCTTGGTCGCGCAAGCTCAAGGCACCAAGACGTCGTGCCTGCAAGAGATACGCATCTCCTATGTTACGAGCGCAAGACACCGGAGCTACAGCGATAGTTCCGCCAAGGGCTGAAGGCTGCAAGAAAAACACCAAGGGGAATACGCAACTATATCGAGGCTTGGCAAACGCTCTGGCCGTCGCTAGTTTCAGTAGTACCTGCCCTGCTGGATCTCCGCACTTCTGTCGGAGATGGCTGATCTCCGCAGGTGAGAGGTCTAGGCCGCAGGAACGAAGAAGCTTCTTCAACTCGAGACCACCGATTACAGCCCTCTGCCTCCTTGATCGTTCATGAAATGTGGCATTGTAGTTATGATTGTGATGTTTAGGTTTGTCGCGTGTGCGGCTGTTGTTGCTGCTACCATTATACCTGGTATGTATGTCGTTTACACGCGGGTCGCGTTGATGGCATGCCAATAAGTGCAGCTGTTGGTTGTTCGCCCCGTCAAGTACTGTACGAAGTGAAGCAGCTACAGTGGTCGAAGAGGTCACAGCACGAAAATCTGTATTGTTCGCACAGGAACCAGGTCTCTTACTCCCCTCCCCTCTCATCTCGTTTCCCTCCCCCGTTTCCTCTCACTTGGCGACTCGTTGCTGGAGCTGCCTTCTCAGGGAGGCCACCTCCGGTTCTCGGTTCTTTAAAGCCCGAATGGTGGAGGCCGCCGGGCCGTCGACACTTGCCACCCTGGGGCCGATCGTCAAGTTGCTCCTCGATGGCGACAACGATGAGGATGGTGCCCGATAGGCGGTGTTTCTGCTCGGCGTAGTCGCTGTCACCGCAGCCTCTGTTCCCGATCTAGGTGCGTAAGGAACATTGTTTGCAGCAGGGATGATCAAGAGCGCGATGGAAGCGCCGGCTTCTGCGTTAGAAAATAATTTGGGGCGGTAGAGATGTTCACGATCACTGGCAAGTGTCAATTTTGGCGAGGTGGAGGGGTTCAAAGGTGTGCACCTTGTACGACCTACCAGCCCGGCTCCTCCGTGTCTGGTTCTTGCAACCTTAAAATCTCGAAGTTTGGTGTTTGGTTTGGAGACGACGGGGCCGCGTTGATTTTCAGTGGCGTGGCTACTCACGCGTATATTCACAGCACAACAGGGCTGCCTGTG